GAAGAAGTAAAGGCTGAAGGACTCTGAATTGTGCCTTTGAGAACTTTGGTTCCAGGGGATGATGGGGGGCACTGTTATTGGGCAATTAAATGTAAATGGGGAGGGTTAAAAGTTCTAAAAGATTGACACAGTTCATAAGAAGTACAAAGATGATAAGTTTGGATGCTAAAAAAAAGCTAGTTAGAGGATCTCCTCTCTTGGTTTTTTAGTCAGTAGTGGGTTCTTTACTTTCTCCCTTATATGTAGTTTTCCCCTCCCCCTTTTCTGTTGTAGTTTTTTGTAGTGTTAAAAAAAATCAATAAAAAAATCCCCCAAAAATGTGCGCTGTCAGTAGGGTTGCCAGTCCCCAGCTGTGGGAGGGGATCCCTTAGTTTTGTGGGCTCCTGCACGCTGCTGGCCAGCAGGAGGAAATCCCCACCCCACAGCAACGTGGAGCAACGTGCTTACGTCACTCGGAAGTGATATAGGCATGTTTGTGATGTGTGTGGGGGGTGACGCTCTGGTTTTTGGGCAGAACTCTACGGTTTGAGGGCAATTTTGCCATAGAATTTTGCCCAAAAACCAGAGTGTCGCCCCTAACATGCCTACATCACTTCCAGGTGACATAAGCATGGCATGCAATGTCACTTTTGGTGGTACCAGCATGTCGGGGGCGACACTTCCGGCTCCCAGAACCCCACCACCACCCTGCTAGCATTTCAAAGGGACCTGGCAACCCTAGCTGCCAGTGAGGTGACCTGGAACTGGTGACAGAGCTGTGAGGTTGTGGGTGGCATCCGCTCATTCGGGAAGGTGACCATACACACAAAGCTGCCTTATGCTGAATCAGACCCTTGGTCCATCTAAGTCAGAGTTGTCTATTCAGACTGGCAGCAGCTCCTCAGGGTCTCAGGTAGAGGTCCTTCATATCACCTATGGCCAGATCCTTTCACTGGAAATGTCAGGGACTGATCCTGGGACCTTCTGTATGCCAAGTAGATGGTCTACCACTGAGCCACAGCTCCTCCCTGGGAATACAAACAAATACTGAAGAGCTCAGAAATGATCTCTCGAAAGTACCCTATCTGAAAAAGGCTGTTGTAGTGCTCAAAAAGGTGGAGGAAAGGAAACCCAAATGAACAGGAAATGTAAAGTGATAACACTGTGGTGGGGGAAAAAATCCAATATCACGTATTCCGTGCTGGAGTCTGAACTGGCTGTGACTAACCAGGAAAGAGATCTTGGGGTGGTGGCCTTAACAGTAGTGACTCAGTGTGTAGCAGTGGTGTAAAAGGTAAATTCCATGCTATGGCCAGTATTATAATGCTGGAAGACCAGGTTTCAAGAATATGACCCATAAAATTGGGTTTTTCCTTCCCCTCATTTTTTGGTGACATCTGCCCTGAAGAGTTATGTTGAGCTCAAAAGCTTGCACACTGGTAGGTATCACTGGATTACTCCTAATAAAGATATTGCATGGATTACTTTCTTGGTTTCTACTTCTGACACATCTGTAAGCAGTCCTTCATTATTACAATGCCTTTATATGGTGTCTCTGCATTTGGATTATAGCATACTGTTCTAGTTACCCCATCTTTACAAGCACATCATAGTGCTGGCTGATGCTCCTTCCCTACAAGGAAAGGCTAAAATGTTTTTGAGTTTTTCAGTTTAGCTAAAAAGATGACAAGGGTAGGGGGACATGATAGAGTTCTCTAAAATTATGTGTGGGGTAGAGGAAGCAGACAGTTTATTTTCTATTCCATAATATTGGGATTGTAGTCATGCAGTGAAGACTCAGGACAGTGTCACATAATGGACATTTTTGAAATTCATTGCCAGAAGATGGGGTGATAGACATGGTCTTAGAGGGGGATTAGGCTATCAGTGGCTATTAGCCATGATAACTAAATAAGACTTGCTTATTCAGGAGCAGTGTACTTCTGAACACCAGCTATTGGAGGGGGTAACAACAAGGAAGGCTGCCAGAGATGGGCTGCTGGGCCAGACGATCCGCTCTGATGTTGCAGGGCTCTTTTGATGTTAAGAGTAAGTTTTAGAATGGGCATGATCTCAGCTTTCTTTTGAGGCAGGTGTAAGGCTGCAAAGGTAGGTATGAAGGGCTGCAACCCATACCTGAGGAAACTAGAGTCACTTCACACAAAGAATTCATGTTGCAAAATCCGTCTTTTCAGCTTATTGGATTCTGACGTGCACTCTCTTCTTGAGTGTGCCTTGCCCTGATTTGGAGATTTCAAACAGGTGTTAGCCCCCCCCCGGTTTCCAGCCTTGCCAGCTTGTTCCTTTTGGCACATTCAGCTGGACTTGTAGCCTGCAGTGAGTTTGTCTCAGCCACTTGGCGGCAGGTCCTGCAAGGCCGCTTTGCGCTGCTGGGTGTTTTGATTGAGCTACACTTTCTCCCAGTGCCTTGGTGAGTACAGGGTGAGCTGTGCCAAAGCGATAACTGGGCTGGCACCCACCCCAGCTCGCCCTACCCTTTCTCTGAAGGGCGGAGGAAGCACGTCAAGGAACCACTGAAATCTTTTGTCTCCTGCGAAACTGGAGTCACTAGATGGAGGGAGGGTGCTATGTACAATTCCAAGAGGACAGGCTTGCTGATGTTGCCTGCAAGGCATGTCCAAGACCTTGCGCACTTCCACCCATCAAAGGGATTGGGGAGTCTGTGCAATCCCCGGGGAACCCTTTTTTGCAAGAATCTTTTCCCTAGGAAGAGGATACAATTTTTCACACTGCTCCTCCCCAGAACTGTCCCAACTCTGCCTTCTCAGAGCTGTCCTCCAGGTCCCTTCAGAACCTTTACCGATTATCTCAGAGCAGGAGGAGGCAGATTTATTTTATTTATTTATTTATTCGATTTCTGTCCCGCCCTCCCAGTGAGCGGGCTCAGGGCAGGTTACGAAGTCGCATAAAGATTGAGACTAAAATAACAATAAATAGACATTTAACAATAAAATCCACACTAAAGTCAGCCATGTGGCAAACCAGAGCAAGCTTGCCTTGATAACAAAGCTCAGAGGGAAGGCGTTTCAGAGTGGTGCAGCTGGATAGCCTGCTATATTAAGAAAGTCAGCAGGGGAGGCCGAGATAGATTTGGATGTCCGATGCTTCAACCGAAAGCCTGATGGAACAGCCCCATTTTACAGGCCCTGAGGAATTGTAACAGATCCCGCAGGGCCCTGACCTCAAGCGGGAGCTTGTTCCAACAGGCAGGGGCCAGGGCTGAAAAAGCTCTGGCCCTGGTTGAGGCCAATTGGACATCCTTCAGGCCAGGGACAGCTAAAAGATGTCGATCGCTGGAGTGTAAGATTCTTTCTGTGGGGCACATATGAAAAGAAGCAGTCCTGAAGATCTGTGGGTTCCTGGCTGCATAGGGCTTTGAAAGTTAGCACCAAAACTTTGAACTGGACCCAGCAGGGCTTTTTTTTGTAGAAAAAGCCCAGCAGGAACTAATTAGCATAACAGGCCACACCCAACAGCAGACACTCATTAGCATAGTAGGCCACACCCCTGAC